CTGAGAGGTGGCCAGTGCCACCTGCGACCACACTCTTGTCCCAGGAGCCTAGGTGGACCTCGCCCGCCCCCCCGCCCCACAGAAGGAAGAGGCGCAGGCCATGCAGTAACATTCCCCTTTAATAGCCTGGCGGGACCTCCAGTGGTGGAGGAATGGGGTGGCGGGGCCCCAGCCACCCAGTCCCCTTGGCCACCCACCCCAGAGCCCAGAGTGGGAGGCTGTGCGGCACCCAGCGGGGGGCTAGACAAGCCAATTCATTTCCCATCGCTGAGCGGGTCGGGAGGAGGCAGCTCCGACCTTAATCACATGGTGGTTAAAAAAAAAATAACTAGGAGCCGGTGGCAGGAAGGGGAGGCAAGGCTAGGGCGTGGAATGACCCCACCTGCTGCCGCATCCCTCCACCTGTGGCCCCCAATAAATATTTGTAGGGGACGCCGGGGCTGTGGCCCTGGCAGGGGTGGGTGTGCGCCGACCCTATTTCAGGCAGCGCTCAAAGTAGGTGGAGCCGATGTAGCCGCCGCGCATGGAGCGCTGCACGTTCTGCTCGAACAGTCGTCGGTTGTTCTGCAGGACCTCAGCAGCTTCCTTGTTCAGTGGGTCTTCAGGGTTGGGCTCCTGCGGCCAGTAGGAGTGGGGGGTCAACAAGGCCTGAGGGGCAGAGGCGCCCACCTCTCCAGCCCTACCCACCGCCCTACTCACCAAAAAGAGATACTGCAGGCCATAAATTATGGAGTTTATCGTAAGGACTGGCTTCCAGTCCTCTCTGTGGGCAGAGAGCATGAGGTTCAGGGGCCGGTGGGGGGGGCGGCTGCCACAGGCCCTGCTGGGACTGGACAGGTCAGGCCCCGGGCACAGAACAGGGTGGCTAGGAGGCCGGGGGGAGGCGCACACAGAGCAGCACGGGCCAGGGAGACAGTCAAGGTCAAGCCACAAGGAAGGAAACAGAAACGCGGAGGCACAGGGACACAGACCACAGCGGGAGGAACGGGCTGGACACTGGCTCAGTGCGAGGCCGTGAGGGGCCTGGCCGGCAGGCAGGGAGAGCAGGGGGGCCGCGCCTTCACCTGAGGATGTTGAGGCAGACGTTGCCCTCGAGGTCGATGTTGGGATGATAGACCATCGTCTCACACTTCACCTTGGGGGGGTCGTGCGGGTAACCCTGGCCCACCTGGCTCCGGGAAGAGAGGGGAGGTGGAGAGGCGCCCAGCAGGGTCTGGCGGGGCCTCAGCTGTTGCCTCCTCAGCCCACCTGAGACTCACCTTAAAACTGAACACGAACTTCCCGCTCTTGTAGAAGCCCTGCGAGGAAGAGAGGAGGAAGGCCCTAGAGCGCGTCCTGCAGGGCCTGGCAGGAGAGCCAGGTCTCCCTCCGCAGGGCGGGCCAGGGCCCAGCCAGTGCCTGGGTGTCGGGCGGGGTGTGTCCTCACCTCATCAGGACAGATAACCAGCTTGAAGTTGAGGAGGTCGTCCGGGTCTGAGAAGCTGATGTCACACGTCTTGGGCAAGTTCAGCTCGTTTATGTCTGGGTTCGTACAGCAGAGACGGGGAACCAAGAGGCCAGGAAGCGGGAGGAGAGAGAAGGGTGGTCAGCTGGCCCCACGGTCTCCTCCTGGACCCTGGGGCTCTGTCCCCGGCTGTGCCTCACATCCCCAACCCTCTCCCTGCTCCCCTCCCCGGTCTGCAAGCAGGATCTTCTGGATCCACACACACCCCAAACATGTAAATTCAAAGGTGCCTGTGGCCTAGTATCTTCCCAGCGTAAACTCCAGGCCCTCTGGACCCACAGCCCCAAATCCCTTTACTCAACAGCTGGGCCCCCCAACCCAGCTCCTAGCAGCCCCCACTCCCAAGTGTTCCCCCAAAGCCTCTGACTGCCTCAAACCCCAGGACCCGCAGCCATAACCCATTATCTAGTGGACTCTGCTGGCCTCCACCTGTCCACCCAAACTCAAGGACCCTGCCCCTCATACCCTGTATCACCCCCTCACCAATCCCGGGTCCCAACCATCCCTCCCCTCTTCTCCCTGCCTGTCAACCCAAACCCAGCTTCCGTTCTGACCCCCCGACCCGTGAGGCCCCGGCCTCCCACCTCCACCACCCCTGTCTGATCCTCTCTGGCACCCCTAGCCCTGCCTCCTCCTCCTGTCACCCAGTCAGACCACATGAATCCCAAGCCCTGAAACCTGCTCCCCCGTCTGACTCGCATGTTCCCGGGGACCCCAGCGCAACCCACTGCTCCCCCCTCTCCTCTGCCTGCCATCCAGGTGCCCGCCGGACCCTCGCCTCGGTCCCCAATACCAGGCGCCCGGCTTTCTGAGCACCCCGAATGCCCCATCCGGTGCCCCAGTCCCTGAAACACCGCTGACTGCATCACCCCACCGCTGGTCCCCATCACCCAGGCCCTGACCTCCGATCCCACCGACCCCCGCGCGCGCAGTGCC